TCAGACCACAATGGGGTAGCACGTGGCCCGACGAATCACTTTTAATATCAAGCTTTTCGATCTTCTAACGGCGAGTGGCGAGCGAAATGATTTCACGCCCAGTGGGTTTTGAATGGCGGAAAGGATGGGCGGGAAGTCAGCGATTTGGAATAGTTGGCAAATTGCTAGGGATTTTTGACAAAAAGGGAAACTGACGAAGCGTGTTGAACTAATAGCACATTTGTCTGCGCATTTTCATTGCATTTGAAAAAATGGAAAATGTCTAAGCGGAAAAGATACGAATTCAAAGTCACTTTGGCAAATGGAAATTAGTATAGCGTATAATATTAAAAGCACAATTGTTGTATTCTTACAGTAAAACCTCTGTAAGTCGAACTTCAAAAGAGACGGCAAATAATTCGAATTATAGAGTTTTCGACTTACGCGGATTTTGTTTTTAAGGAAATATTCGACTAGCAGAGGTTTAGATTCTTTCTAACTTATTTTGAGTTAGAGAAGTAAAATAAATAAAAATTCAAGTTACAGAGGTAATAAACATGTTTATTTGCAACTTAAAAGCTATATTATGTACTACAATAAAAAATCAAAATAATTCAGAAACAACAATATTATTCGTATGCTGTTAAAATAGATGTATTGCAGTAAAACCAAACTACTTCTGATATTTTTTGCAATCGACAACAAAAGATTTGCTTCGCTAGAGTTCAAATGAAAGCAATAGCAATAATAAAAATAATAAGAATATTTCAAAGAATTGGTTATTCTATTTACTGTATACTCATGCAGTGTTTTCTAAGAAACAATGACGTGCGTTGTCGGCAAATCCTTAAAGTCGGTAACTTATTTTTCTTCGAGCTATAGAAGTAATTAGTTTCAAATGATCGAGTTGTAAGGTTGTAAAATCAAACATTGCTAATGTTCGAGATACATAGATCCAATGTTTTTTTTTTTTTTTTTTTTTTTTTTTTTTCGAGTTACGGAGGGAAAATATATACCAAATTGGCTTGTGGGGACTGACTAATTATTTCGACATAGAGAGGGTTGAAAATATCGAGTAATGGAGGTTTTGAGGGATTGAAGGGGAAGGGAACAATTTTTTTTTTTATGGAGGTTTTCGACTTATCGGGAGGTTCGACTTAAAGAGGTTCTACTGTATTTATAAAGAATACAACAACTGTGAATAGTTTGAAACTATGGAACTATAAGAGGAAATATTTGGCAAATTGCTAGGGATTTTGACAAACGGAAACTGAAAGAGGTTCTAATAGCATTTGTCTGCAATCATTGCATTTGAAAAAATGAAAAATGCCTAACCTAGAAAGAAACAAATTCATAGTGGACAAACGTTTAGTATAGCTTATTATATTAAAAGCACAATAGCTGTATTATTTGTAAACAAGAGGAATAGTTGGCAAATTGCTGATGGATTTTTTTGGCAAACGGAAACTGACGAAGCGTGTTGTACTAATAGCACATTTGTCTGCGCAATCATTGCATTTGAAAAAATGAAAAATGCCTAACCTAGAAAGAAACAAATTCATAGTGACTTTGACAAACGGAATGTAGTATAGCTTATTATATTAAAAAGCACAATAGCTGTATTACTTTGTAAACAAGAGGAATAGTTGGCAAATTGCTATGGATTTTTGACAAACGGAAACTGACGATGCGTGTTGTACTAATAGCACATTTGTCTGCGCAATCATTGCATTTAAAGAATGGAAAATGTCTAACCTGAAAGATACAAATTCATAGTGACTTTGACAAACGGAAATTAGTATAGCGTATTATATTAAAAGCACAATTGCTGTATTATTTGTAAATAAGAGGAATAGTTGGCAAATTGCTGGGGATTTTTGACAAGGGAAATCTATCGATGCACATTTGTCTGCGCATTTGAAAAAATGAAAATGCCTAACCTAGAAATATACAAATTGATAGTGACTTTGACAAACGGAAATTAGTATAGCTTATTATAGTATTAAAAGCACAAATATTGCTGTATTCTTTGGACATACGAAAAATTGTGGGCAGGGCAAATGATAGTTAAGTAAACAGGTAAATTTTCAACAAATGAAAAAATGAAATACAATATATTTATGTGCGTAGTAAATGAAATCAAGTAAATTAAGACAGATTTTTTTTTATCAATGGAAATAAAAGGAAGATGCATGATAGAATAGTTGGTAAATTGCTATATATGTTTTGACAAAATGTATCTCGTGAAATGAGATAAATTAATATTTGTGTATTAATATAGCGCGAGACACTGATGGCATATTGTTCAAATATACTGATAGCATATTTGATTACCTAATCTTGAAATTAAAAAGTTAAATAAATAATGAAGAAGAAAAAAGACAAATTAATTAGTGACTTTGACAAAGAAAAAAAAAGTGTGAAATATATAGGGATATGTAAAAATAAAACTGTTTGATACAGTGCAATATATAAATTATATATTTGTTGCATTTTTTTTTTTTTAATGAAATACTTGTTGTGAAAATCGTCACATGGTAAATTTTAAGTAAGAGAAAAATACAATTTTTTTAAAACTATTTATATCATATTTATTTGCATATAAAAAAAAACGATTTACAATAGTATTAGAAAAGTTTGGAGTAAAACACACACAAAAAAAAATTGTCTTTTCTTTCATTTCTTTTAGCAAAGATGTGCTTTTTTGGAAAAAAGAGTTATAAAAATAGATTCAGCTTGTAAGATTTTTTTTAAATTATAGAAATTGATTCAACCTATAAGATTCTTAAATTGTAAAAATGAAATTCAATTTCATTCGAATGCGAGCATTTCTACAATGGCGTTAGCGAAAATTTAAATTATTTTTATTTGTAAAGGTAGTATCTCTGAAAAAAGGCAAAATTTCTATTTCTATCTATAAAATTGAAAAACCTTACCTTATAGAATTTGTATGCTGGCTTATGTTAGTTATATCACTTTCTGTATCTGGCCTGTTTCTTTTCACCTGCAAATGAAAAATAATTAAATTAAACATTTTAATTAATGTGGAATTGAGTTATGAACAAGTAAAATGGAATTAATTTCCATGAAAAAAAAAATAAATAACTATTCTTTAAAACCATAATAATTTTTTTGGGTCATATTTGTAACTTATTTCGTTGCAAAGAAATTCATTATTCTTTATAAAGTATAATTATGAGTCCTCAGTAAAAGTAAGTTAAAATTATTAATTTTCAGTAGTGGGCATATTTTAATCTTGAAGCTAATTATTAATTTGCTAACACGAGAAAAAAATCAATAATGATAGAAATTAAATGAAGCTAAAATAATGGCGAATCATTTGTTATATGACGCAGTTTTTATTTTGATGTAATGTATTGCTAAGCAATAACATAAAACTTTTTGTACCATTCTTCAGACAATTATTTTCTTAGAAACATGAAATCATTATTAAGAAATATACAGAAATATTGTAATTTATTTTGATGCATTGCTAAGCAATAACAAAACTTTTTGAACCACCCTTCAGACGGTATTATCTTAGAAACACGAAATAATTATTAAGAAATATACAGAAATATTGTAATTTATTTTGACGTATTGCTAAACAGTAACATGAAGACTTTTTGTACCATCCTTCAGATGGTTATTTTCGTAGAAACACGTAGTTATTATTAAACAATATACAAAAATATTATAATCTGTTTTTGATCATAATAATATCTTCAATATCATTCAATGTTAAATTAATTTCGTACTCTTCAGCTATTTTAAGAGAAATATACAGGAATTATAAAGAATAAACTATGTAAGGGTTCAAAAAAGATTATTAAAAGATTAAATTATTAGTTTCGTTTCTATCCAAGTTGCTACTGGTTACGATTGTACTTTTTTTTTTTTTTTTTTTTTTTTTCATGTTCAAAAATTTTAGTTCATTTAAGTAATAATTATTTTAACTATTTAACTAAGAATTTTATAAATTAACTTATGAAAAAAATTGTGAACACACACAAAAAAAAATTAGTTCTTGTTATATTCTCTACCATTATCTTAAATAAAATTAATCATTACAATTCCTTAAGTACATCTCCTAAAAATATTATATAGATAAAAGTTTACAAGGCTTTATAAAAATTTGTCCCTAATTAATTTTTGAAAAATTTTTAATGAAAAATTTATACGTAAGAATGAATTTTTAAAAAAAAAAAAATGCATTTTAAATTTGTTATTTTACTTTTACGAAAAATTTAACTAAATACGAACTTGAAACTTAACACAGTCATAGTAAGTTACCCATTCCATTTGCTTGGTATTAGCTATTTAAACGTTTAATTGATTTATATTTCTATTTCGATAAATTTTACAATTTGTTCCTTATTTACATTTTAAACTTTGTATAATTAAAAATTTCAAACAAAAAAATCTTCATCTCAAATTAATTTTCCTCATTTAAAAACATAATAATTGTAGTCTTTTTATAATTTACTGTATCATCAATATATAAATAGAAATGTTTTATTCCAAATTTAAATATTTAAAATATTATTATTAATCGCATCTAATTGTTATGTGTATTCTAATCTAATTATGTGTAATTAATGTTTAATTTCTTTCTTATTTTCTCTTTCTTTACAGATCCTAATTGTAATCTTATAACAAGTAATGAACTAAATGCAACTCTCTCAATCTTTTGGATCAACTAATTAATGTTTAATTTCTTACATATCATAAATATGTTGTTGTTTGTTGTTTCTTATCCCATTTGGCTGGCCAAGCCCATACGTACTCATGATTGAAGAGGAAGGAAGCAGCTGCTTCTGTTGTGATGGACCACCTAGGTAGAAGTCTGACTTTGGCTCCGTGACGCTCTTACAGTCATAGGGAGACCGGGACCTACGGCTTAAAGTGGATTCGAACCCTTACAAATATCCATGGCACCGCCGGGATTCGAACCCGAAACCTGTGGCACCAAGCGCCAGAGCGCCAGACACGGCCATTCAAGTCCCAAATTTGTGAATGCCAACGGCACGCGGTGTTCCCAGGTACCCACCCAGTACTGACCGCGCCCAATGATGCTTGACTTCGGTGATCTACCGAGAACCGGTATATTCAGCATGGTATGGCCGTTGGCTCTAGATAAGTATAATTATATAACTATAATTCTATAATAAGTAATAAACTACATGCAACCCGTCGCCAATCTTATGGATACGGAAGAACATCAAGTTTATAAGCATCAGTGTCTGTAAAACAACATGAAATCTCAATAGAATGGCTGTTTGCCAAATGTCCAAAGAAAAACTCGTTTTAGCAAAGAATTAAAATATAATTTTTGGCACAAATTAACTCGTAGTAATACGAAAAAACACAAATATGAGATACAGTATACGGAGGATCAAATTTAACTCATGAAACACCATCAGCCTAGATCTAGTGTTCCTTTCTGAAGAATCGTTAAGAATATCATAGTGACTGAATCAGTCACTACAGAAAGAACAACTGTATTTAAACCTATGTAAGGAAATTTTGAGTTGCACTAATAATGTTAACCAGATATTTAATTGTACTTCTGTTAATATCGTTTCCTTCTTTCATTCCTATTCCAAGAATACGTGACGATTTGAGAAACATTGACCATATAGGAATAAATGTTTTTAAGGTGAAACACTGACCAAATAAGAGTAATTTTTTAAAGGAGAAACATTAAAAATTAAATAAGTTTAATAAATAATAATAAGTAGTTAAATAAATTAGTAAATTACTCCAAATAAGAGTAATTTTTTTTTTATGAGAGAAACATTGACCAAATTATTATCATTACTGTAGTTAGGAGTATTTATTTAAAAAATCTCAAAACACACAAAAATTTAACAAAAAAAATATATATATATATATATATATATATATGTATATATATATTATATCTATGCATTAATTTATATTTAACATTTATAATATGCATATATATTAATGTTCATGTTTGTCAAAATATAATTTAGAAAATTTCGCAAAGCAGTAAGAAAATTTCTATAAGGCATTATCTGAAATTCTGTAATTATAACGGTAATCAAAAAATGACTGGAAAGGAAGGAAATAATGGAATTAAAAAATGACAGAAATGGAATGAAATAAAGGAATTAAAAAATGACTGTAATTAAAAAGGAAGGAAAATAGTAAAAAACACATTATTTCTGGAATACATAAACAAGCAAGCATTTCAACAAAATAATTTTAAAAAATAGTTAATAATTGCTTTAATAAAGTTCAAATTTTAATTTCATAAAGTAACCTATGTACATTTTAACTTATGTCGAATTTTATACAGGCAGGAGAAAATAAAATTTGATTAGTGATTAAGAGTTTTGAAAATAAACATGGATGGACTGGAATAAATCAAGTCATATACAGTAATTTGGCCATTTCTGATTTAAGTTATTATTATATGATCTCGACTTTTAATTTTATAGTAATCAACCAAAACGCATATAATGACAAAAAACAAATTCCCAGTCTTAAAAAATTGTAGATTTAAATTTCAGTATTTCTTACGAAAGAAAGAATAACTATTAACACAATTTTAAAATTAACGAAAACAAAAGTTCGTAATCTTCAAAAAGTTTATTTTTATTATTATTTAAGATGATTTAATTTTGATCTGCAAAGAATACCTTGCACTACATCAGTGGTTGCATATTACAGTTCAAAAAGCATCTTTACAGCATGTTTTGATCCCTCTTTTTGAAGTGAGATAAACAGCCAGTATACAATATATTATATGGTCTCGACTTTAAATTTTATAGTAATCAAACAAAACAGCTATAATGACATATAAAAATTCAGGGTCTTAAAAACTTCTGGATTTAAAATTCAGAAATTCTATACGAAAGAAAGAATAATTTTTGGCATAATTTTTAAAATTATTGCAAAACAAGTTTATAATCTTAAAAAGTTTTATTTATATTGTTTTTATTATTATTATTGAAGGTAATTTAATTTTTATCTATTTTGCACCACATAGGAGGTTGCATCTTACAGTTCAAAACCCATTTTGAGTATTTTTTTATCCATCTTTAGAAGTGAGATAAAAACAGCCAATTATGGTCACCCTGCCTCTATTAGCACTCGTGGCACATTACTGCACGGCTTCTCGTGGGGAAAAGAATAATCGTGAGAAAGCATATTAAGTACTTCGAAAAGCATTACTTATCATTAGCAAGTATATGAGTGAAAAAAGCCGCAGCTAATTACAATAATCATCATTAGCCAACCCCAATCCATCACGAGACACATTCTGTTTGTTTTTGTGGCTGGAATCCGTGCGAGTCCAGACACCGGTGGTCTTGAATCAGCAAGCGAACACCTGTTGGCCAGACACAAACGATTAAAACCGATTATCAACCGCAGAGGGTGTTATTTCAAGTTCCGTTTCCGGGTTCCACCATAGGGCCACTCATTCTTGCATAGGAGCCACTCATTAAAGTAATAAGTCTCGTCATTTTGGATGATAATAGCAAATAGTTAGCTATCAGTATACGAATATTATTATTAAATTTTATAATCTATGTGAAAAATAATTAAATCTGAGCAATATATACTGAGTTCTGATGCACTGAGCAAACCATTGAAACTTTAGGATAATTTATATCCATATATATATATGTTGTATATATGCATATATTATATCTGTTACAGATATGTGTTCCTAAAGTTATAAATCATCCTAAAGTTTTAATGGTTTGCTCGGCTTATCAGATCTCAATATATATTGCTCAGATTTAATTTTTAGATATATTATAACATTTAACAATAATATTCTGTAATGTATGCTAAATATCCCCCAAAATTATGAGACTTATTGTTTATATACATACATACATACACATACATACATACATACATACATACATACATACATACATACATACATACATACATACATACATATACTCAAGAGCCAAAACATTATGACCACCTGTCAATAACGAGTTGGCCCACCTTTGGCGCGCAACACAGCTTCAACCTGCCTTGGCATGGATTAATACCACCATTTAATACCAGTTAAATACCACTTCCACCTGATCATGTGCCTTACACGTCATCCAGGCGAGTTGATTGCAAAATGTAGGGGTGGTCATAATGTTTTTGGCTCTTGAGTGTATATATAATGAATAATTATAAAATATTATACGTAATGAACATGAATATAATTACTATATATAATATATATATATTTTGTGTGTGTGTGTGTGTGTGTGTGTGTGTGTGTGTGTGTGTGTGTGTGTGTGTGTGTGTGTGTGTGTGTGTGTGTGTGTGTGTGTGTGTGTGTGTGTGTGTGTGTGTGTGTGTAAGAATTCAAAATATGGAATTTCATATAAAAACAAATCCAGAAAATAATTCCTCAAACAGTAGCCTAACTGTGAATATAAAACAGTGTCAGAATTGCAGCTGGGAAAACTCGCTATTAACATATACCTACTAATAAGAAAAATTTAGTTATAAATGAAACAGATGCGTAATTAAAATAAATAGCAAAGTATTTTTAAAAAAAATTGCAATAATTATTAATGTAAAATGTTCAAACATTAATGTTGTACAACGATCGTAACAAAGTTACAATAAAATCAAAATCGTGTTTCAAACTAAAAGTCAAGAAAACTTAACATACTATTAAGCTTAAAAACAAAATTAAGCCTTTTCAATTGCTCAATAAAAAAATTTTGCAGTTGAATTACTTGAACAATTTGAAAAATTATTTATTCTGAAATATCAAACGGACGCATGGATTCAATGATACAATACCAAAAAAAAAAAAAAAAAAAAAAAAAAAAAAATTAAAAAAAAAATAATAATAATAACAAAACAAACGTTGCATAATATTTGAGCAATTAGGTTAATCAAAAATTTAAGTATACTATCCTGGTTTAAATTCGAAAATATTCTGATTTCTCAAATAAATTTCAACTTCCTATTACGATATCATTAAAATTCAGAAAATCATTTGAAATAATTCAATGGGAAATAAAAAAAAAAAAAAGTATATTTTTACATCACTGCACAGCATTTTTATTATCCAAGAATAATACTGACGTATTGTTTGTTTGTTGGAGTTATAAAAAAAATATTATTTTTGAAATCATTTTTTAAATTTCAATTGTTCAAATATTTGTTAGAAATAAAAAAATAAGTTACGCAAATATTTCTATCAATTCACATTAAAATATTATGAATTGAAGTACACAGTTTTCAAGTTATAACTTCTTTAATGCCATATTAGAATATATGACTTCATTTGTTCTAGTTAAAAAAAATAAATAATAAAATAGGTTTTTTTTTTTTTTAAGAAAGGGAACCCCATTTGAAAACATTATTGGATAAAAAATTTTAATGATTTATAAAAAATTAAGCATTATTTATTTAAAATATCGATACAAATTTTGAGAATGTGTGATTGGATTTTCTTATTTTTATATTAAGTTATGAACTAAGAACATATCACGAATTTAAAAAATTTAAAAAAAAAAAAAAAAAGTGGAAAATATTTTATCTAGTAAACAAGTATAAATTGTTAATTAATAAAAATTTACATATTAATTAAAAAAGATGTATTTATAAAAATAAAAATTCTGCAAAAGTTATTATTAAGAACAAAGAATTTGAAAATTATAATGCACATTTACGGAAAATATTTTATCTAGATAAAACATCAGTAAAAATTGTTAATGCTATAATATATAAATTAAAAATAAAAATTCTTCAAAAGTTATTATTTAAATGAAGAACAAAGAGTTGCTGAAAATTATACTTACATTGATTGCCTTAATAAGATAATCAACGCAAATAAAGGATGGTTTCAGTTTTTTATTTAATTTTAAAATGGTATTAAAAAATTTACATTATTACTTTTAAGAACACACTTTAAAAATAAAAATTCTTCAAAAGTTATTATTTAAATGAAGAATTTAAATGAAAATTATACTTATATTGGATGCCATAATAAATTATTAAATTAATGCATTCCAAAAGAAGAAAAAAATCAATAGTAAGGATGGATTCATACCACGCTGACTTCCATAATTGCGAAGGAATTTTTAAAGGAGTATTTAAAAAAACAAATCTTCATTATTACTT